GTCTAAATTGGATTCTTTACAATAGTGGGTAGTTCCTAAGGCTTAATTTAAATTGTTTGGTTGGTAAATTGCTAGATTCTATTGGTTCGGAGGCTTGTTTGAAAGGCAAAGCGGTGGTTGAGCTTTGAGTTTGGTATTGTGGAACCAAATGTTGAAGTAAAACTTGTTCTTGTTATTTCTATCTCCATGTTGCCTTTTGTTCTTTGTTTTATGGTAAGGGAGAGTGTTAATGCACGAAGGGTGATTCCGTGACACGTTATGAGAGAGTAAAAGCACGAAGGCGAAGGGTAATATTGTGCCATATTGTGAGTGTTAATGCACGAAGGATAATGCTGTGCCATGTTATGAGAGTTAATGCACGAAGGGTGATGTCGTGTCGTTTCTATTGATAATATGGTGAGGTTGAAAGTAAAAGCACGAAGGGTGATGCCGTACATTTTTCTCTTACTGTGTTTACTTGTTATTATTGGTTCAAGGTATATTGGTTGATCAAGCTCACATTACTGGTCTAATTGCCTATTTTGTAATCCCCTCAGCATGCTCCCCTTCCCAATATTACCTGTCTATCTTTTGCTTGTCCTTATTTTGTACATATACTATTAGATTGCACATGTTTATTATGTGGGTATCTTGTCATAGCCTTGTCGAGGTTAGGCTCGATACTTACCAGTACATGGGGTCGGTTGTACTGATACTACATTGCACTACTGTGCAGATATTGGTATTGGTCCCAGCTAATCGGGAGGCATAACAGCTCGGACTGGTTCATCGAAGACTCAAGGTAAATCTGTCGGCGTTCGTAGACCTTGAAGTCCCCGTCTATCTTTTCTGTTATTACCTTAACTCAAGGTAAATCCTAGAAGTTCGTGAATTATGACTCCAGATCCGGGTGGTAGTAAATATTGAAGTTTTTATAATATTCTGCAAATTATGTTTTAGCGTCTGTTTAGCTTAAATAAATTCTATTATTAGAAGTGTACGGAGGTTGATTTGAAAATTCTCTAATGTTGGCTTGCTTAGCAAGTGAAATGTTAGGCGCTATCACTACCCCGAAGGTAAAAATTCCGGATCGTGACACTAATCTCATCATAATTAATCCTAATACAACTTGTCTTCGGAACAAAAAACCCTTTACTAATGCATGTCGGACATATGTCTTTTATACACGAGTTTATAATTAATTATTTTCACTTTAATTTTGAACTGATAAGGTTAAACTAATGTAAATATTAAGCGTGAATAAGTATTTAATATGACAAAAATAGAAAAAACAACAGAAACGAAAATATCGTGAGAATTCCATTTTCCAAGACAACAAATACATCAGCTTAGTAACTGTTTGCTGTCTTTCAAGAACTGTTACACATTGTGTCATGAAACTGTCTCAATAGCTATTTTCATCAAGTAACACTTTCTCCACCCCACCCTCTACAAATCTTCTTCTCATCCCTAATATAGCCACACAAAAAAAGTGCACTTAGGACACCCATGCGCAGGATTCGAGAAAGAGCCGAACAAGGTCTATTTTACGCAACATTATTCTTTATTTTTGTAAGAGACTTTTATTAGGTTTAGACAAGAAGAATGTGTTGTATTTTTAAACTTGGATTTGTGTAGAATATGGATATATGATTGATAGGTCAATTTCATTCTTTTCTTTTTCTTTTTTGTAGTCAGAGTATAATTATTAGAGAATTTTTGGGGGATAACTACTCTGTTTAAATCCCCAGCTGCCAAAAGCCTGATAGGGAGGTTACAGAGTTAACGCTATGGAAAATTGTCTGTTCCATTTGTTTTGTTTCATAAAGAAAAGAATTTTTAGAGAAAATGAAAAGTTAGTAAGTTAGACTTGTAGCTTTCAACCAAAAAGTATTGCCTTTTAAAAAAAAATGAATATAACGTTTATGTCAAAATTTATAGTACTCAAATTTTTGGGTGGTTTTTAACTTTTGGCTCCCGTTCAAGGTTAAAAGTTAAAAATGTTGCCCATGGGACAAGCGACCCTTGTTAAATAGTTCATGCAGCAAGCGCAGACAAAAAAAGGCTATTTGTGTACTTCACCTTTTTCCTTCCCTTTCCTTGAAATAAGCCCAATGTAATTGTTTTATTTGAAAAAAAATATTAATATAATGTTCTCCAATGGAATATATAATATTTGTTTTAATCGTTAATATTAATTAAGATCAATCTTATCAAAAACTTTACCACTTCACCATCAACATATTTGGTGGAATGGATGAAATCCCTCCATTTTTTATCAAAAGAGTCGAATTCGAGTTTATGGGAATGGAGAAATTCATTATAAGGAGCACTTCCCCTTTTATAATCCCTATGCATCGCGAATCTAAATTAGCTACCAAATAGTTATATAAAGAGAAAAAAATTAAACCTCACCAATTCAACTCGAAATTCGATTTTGCCAGATTAAAGATGTAGCTCTCTTTACTTGTATTTGCTTCTTTTTGTGATATTAATAAAATTATTTATTGAGAATTTTCCTCTTGAAATATCAAACAAAATAATTCACCAAAACTCGATTTTGCTTCATGATTTTTCAATTTTTCACATATTAATTGGGGGG